GCCCTCGCTGGCCGCCCGGCGCCCGGAACGCTCCGACGGCACGGTTCGGCTGGTGGGCGCGCGGCCTGCGGGCGCGGCTGTAAGAACTGGAGTTTGGGGAGAGCCAACGGCAGACGCCCACCCGAGCGGCCACGTCCCGCTCCCGCGGCCCAGGCGGCAGAGCCGGAGCTGGCCCGGCCCGGAACCCTGCCCCGGCCTGGCAGGCTGTCCTGGCTGTCCAGCCTGGTCCGAGGCGGGGGTCTCTACCCGAAGTCCCTTTGCTTAAACGCCGCGTCGCCCGCCCCAGGGCTGTCGGTGCCTCCAGATGGGGGCGCGCACTCGCCGGGCCTCGCCTCCCTCCCGCCTGGCGCCCTTCTCCCCGAGGGGGGCTCGAGCTGGGAGCCCTCCGCACTCAACTGCGTTTTGTTTGTGTCCGTGGTCTGAGGGATTGGGAAGTAAACTTTTGTGTGTTTTTCTTTATAATGATGTGGAAGAAGGCCCATTTCAAGTTTAAAGACCCCAAACGTCCGCTGCTTTACCTTCACCTTGGCCGAGCGACTCCAAATACCTTATCCCGCAGATCGCGTTGGTACAAACACTCCCGCCCTGCGTCCCTCTGTCCGGGCTCGGACGCTGTCCTCTGCGGAGGCGAGCGCGGGCAAATGGAACCTCCCTCGCCTCGGCTTGAAGGCGTTTCCCTATGAGCCGGCCGACGGCTCGGGGGGCCGCCAACAAGTGCACCCCAGGGACCCCCGAGTTGGGTGAAGGGATATGGGAGTGTTAAGGAGGCAAATCTGGTCTGGGTAGTCGCGCACCAGGCAAGGCAGGTCTGCGAAGGCTCCTGGAGGGCGCGGGCCGTTCTCCTAAAAGCCCTTAATCCTGGACGGCCTCGGGTCTGGCCTCTGCCCAGAGTCCCTGGCGGTCAGGGCCACGTTCGCTCCTTTGTGCGCAAAGTTGGTTACTGGCGATAGACGCACAAGGGTAGCTTCTTCTGCCGCGGCACGGGTGGGCGCTGCGCAGCTGGGCGTTTCATACATAATCCCGAGTCCGGACCCCCGCACCACGATAACAGTCAGGAACGCGTTTGCTCTTTTATTCTGGATCGGGCCGCCGGGCGTCTGGGCTTCCCCGGACCTGGGCGGGTTATAACTGCGCTTGGCGGGGAACGCTTGAAAACCAGAAACAAATAAAAAACCCATTGCCCATTCCTTATTGAGGAATTAAAATGAGTAGGAAGCAGGTAGCTTGGGGCTCGCCTAACGTGTCCCGGGAACCCCTCGGTTTGAAGGGCTTTTTACAGAGCTTAAGAAGTCTAGCAACCCCGTGCGCGAAGTGAGGAATTCTTTCCTATCAAAAAAGCTCACTGCAGCGGCGGTATAGAATTTCCCCTCTTCTGCCTCGCTAATAGATAAAGAAAGGAAACATTTCCGCACTCACTCCTAGCGTTCTCCTGGAACAATACTAAAATTTACCTTTCTCATAATCAAAAGATAAAGAATACTGACGACGAAGCGGTATGCCGGGCGGATAGTGTGTGACAGATAATTTGCTGCAGGCGGAACATTTCAAGAAGGCTCATGCAGAAATGGATTGTAAGCATCCACAGTGGATTACAAAAAGGTGGTTATTTCGTGAGTTGGGAGAAAAATGACAATTTCACAGGAAAACACTATGAGTTACTGACCTGTTTCTTCTCCAGCTTTAAGTAATATCTAACTATTGGTTGTCTCGGAAAATGTCTAGATATTTTACATTTTTCATCTTTCGAATTTCTCTCAAAAATAAAAGATGCATAAAGACGGGATTAGAATCTCAACAATTTCCTTAATTCAAAATTATCCA